ACACTTTTCAGTATCTGTTATGCATTTTAAATATATCTTAGACATAATATTTACAATATTATGGGCTTATTTACAATATTGTGTTTCTTATATCATTAAAAACATTAACATGGGGCTGGGTTTGTGCTTCAGTGCTAGAGTGCTTGCCTCAAATATGTGGCTCAGTGGTACAACACTCACCTAGTGTGTGCAAGGTGCTGGGTTCGATCCTCAGCACCACATTAAAAAAATAAGTAAATAAAATAAAGGTATTGTGTCCAACCATAAGTAAAAAATATATATTTAAAAATATATATCTGTGTCAAAGTCAAAGGATAAAACATTTTTTAAAAAAACATTAACATGAAGTTTAAACTGAATTTAATTTTAAAAATAATACATGTTTTAAAATATAAATTTTAGCGAATAAAGAACCAAAATAATGAAAATTACATGTATTTCCACCTCTCAAAAAATAATGATATGGGGGGGCTGGGGTTGTGGCTCAGTGGTAGAGTGCTGGTCTAGCACATGCGAGGCCCTGGGTTCAATCCTCATTACCACATAAAAACAAATAAAATAAAGGTATTGTATTCAATTACTTCTAAAAAAATAAATATTTTTTAAAAATTTTAAAAATAATGAGTCCATAGAACAGAATTAAATTAATAATTCTTATATTATGCATATTATCTCATTGATGCTTGCATGACTCTTTTGTTTTTATCTATTCACTTGTTCTTTTAACTATGATAGTAATAATTCAAGTATTAAATAATAAATGATGATTTCAATTAAATACTGACATCCAGTCATCCACCCAAGACTGAAGCAATAGAATACTGATAAGTTTAAATTCATTTATATAATGTTTCCCTATTTTGACTCTCCTCAATACTGATGATCATCATCCACATTTATCTGCCTAATATTCTTTTGCCTTTTAATTAATTATTGGTATGCCATATATATGTAGCACTAAAAAATACAGTATTTAGCTGTTTTTTTTTTAATTTGTCAATGGATCTTTATTTACATGTGGTATTGAGAACTGAACTCTGCCTCACACATGCTAGGAAAGAGCTCTACCACTGAGCCACAACACCAGCCCCTGTACTTATTTTTGAATATAAAAAAAGATATCCCAGTGACTTGGGAGGCTGAGGCAGGAGGATCGCTAGTTCAAACCAGCCTCAGCAACTTGGTGAGGCCCTAACAAGCTTAGCAAGGCCCTGACTAAAAAATAAATAAATAAATAAATAAATAAATAAATAAATAAATAAATAAATAAATAAATAAATAAATAAAAGGGGTGGGGGGGGCTGGGGCTCAGTGACTAAGCACCCCTGAGTTCAACCTCTGAAACAAGAAAAAATATCTTATTATATGCAATCTTTTGGGGACTTGGTATCTTAATTTTCTAAAAGTAAAATCTGCCTATATTTTTTAAAAAATATTTATTTTTTAAATTTTAGGTGGACACTATATCTGTATTTTATTTTTATGTGTGCTGATCGAACCCAGTGCCTCATGCATGGTAGGTGAGCACTCTACCACTGAGCCACACCCCCAGCCCATACCTATATTTTTATGTGTAGCTCTAGTGCATTCATATCACTCCTATATAGTACCACATTGTGTAGATATTATCATAATTTATCCTTTTTTCTTTTGAGACTTTTTAAACTAACATTTTAGGGTATTCTTTCAAATATATTTTGTTTCCCTCGTACAAAATATGAATACCATATACATTTTCATGTGACCTAGTTCTCACACTAATGATACCTTACAAACGTATTCCCATTTTAGTAAATATTCTTGTATGACATAGCTTCAAATGGCTGGAGAGTATTCCATCATAGAGTTATAATTTTTTAATAACCACCAGTTGTTGAACATCTGAATTGCTTGTCATTTTTTCCTGTGATAAGCATTAAGTTGTAGGCCTTTGGCAAAGTACCTCTCCTTTTAGTAATTTATATTAAGTAATATCTGAACAAATTTGCACATAGTATGTACTGGGCACAACTTTCACAACATATATGCTCATCACAGCAAATTTTTGCAAGACTAAAATATTGAAAGGAACTTAATGTCCACTAATAGGAGATGGACTAAGTAAATTGTGTTAAAATTAGAACACAAATGCAGTTGCTGACATGAAAAGTTATAGTTTATTGTGAAGTGAAAGAAATAGGTTAAATGGTAGAATGACTACATTTTGTAAAAGAAAATAAAGATACCCTTGAAATAGTCTAGAAGAATATTCACTAAAATCTTCACAGTGATTATCTCTGGGTATTGAGATTATTTGAGAATTCATTTTTTTTTTCACTTTGCTTACTTACATTTTGAAGTGTTTTCAAATGATTAAATATACAAGCAAAAGGATAAATTAATAATGAATTTTGGTGCACAACTGTTTAAACATTTTTCCTGAATAGAAAATACCCTGTCATTTTAAGGACTTTGGGGGAAAAAACAAGAATATAAAAAAGAAAACAGAATCATACATAATCCTGCTCACCCAGTGATAATTAGTTCACAATCACCACTGTATTTATTTCTAGTCTTTTCTCTCTTGTTATATATTTCAAGTAGTTGCGGCCACACTTTATATCATCTTGTATGTTGGTTTTTCACTCAACATTATATACTGAACATGCTATAAATATTTTAATGGAAGAATATTACATTATATGTAAACAGCACACTTAACATAATCATTTCCTTAAAGCTAGACTCTTAGGTGTTTGTTTTTTTTTTTTTTTTGCTCTACCAAATAAATATGCAAAGAACAGCTTTGAGCATGAATCATCCACATCTTAAATGTCCTTTGATAGATTCCTTGATGTGAAAGTATTGAGTTAAAGAATACAGCTTTATATTCCTCAATTAAGGCAGAATGTAATAGTAAAGAAAAAAAAAAAAAAAAGAGGTCCAACCAACACCCAAATCCCATGGCCACTGTCAAAAATTACTCTGCTTAGGTAAAAACTGATATAAAGACATCTTATCTAAGTTGCAGCTTATTGTGATAACCAAATGAGAAACTAGATCCTTCTGAGTCACCAAGAACGTTCCTTCCTGAGGAATGCTTTCCTTGACTTTCCAAACTCTCACAGCAGCCTATGTTACTTTTCCTTCATGGCTTTATCACGAGTGATAAATAACTGTTCAATTATCTGTACACTGTCTGTACTCCCCCAGCCGATTTTAGGTTCCATCAGATAAGCCTGGCACCCAGTTGGCACTCAATAAATATTTGTTGAATGAATGGATGGATGAACAATGAAGTGATAGCACTTCGTAAACTGTAATTCAGATGATATGTTGCTATTTAATTGTTATTGTTGTTGCTCCTGTTTATTACCATGTAGAGGATTCTAAATCTTTATGGTGATTACTTGCCTAACTGTCACTTCATTGTGTGGCTTTCATGTCATTCATAGCAGCCAGAGGCATGGGTAGCAACATTTCTGCAAGTGTCTGGTGAGAGCTGAGACTTGGAGAACCAAGTAGTTAGTTCTCTAGGTCAGCTTGCTGGGATTTAAGGAGCTGTAGTTACCATTAGTTGGATACAAGGCAGTGATCAGGAACCCAGGAGGTCAGTGATTTTTGAAGAAGCAGGTAGATCCTGGAGGTCAGAAACAAACTAATGGTAAGTGGTCTAGAGAGTAAAGTTCAAACTGGGGAATGGTCAGTGATAAGAGCTGAAAGTAGTTGGGAAAGTTAAAGTTGAAGCACTTGTACCCAAACATGAAGTCAGGAATATGATTCTAAATCAAAGGGTACTTGAGCTCAGATGACCCCTTATATTCTTTCTGTCAAAACTAAAAATGGTATTGGGAAATGTTTCCACCTACTTCCAGTATACATGAGCAAGGGAATGGGAGTAGCTGGTTGAGGAATGAAAGTCATGAATACAAATAGGTTCTGATGGTGGTGACAGGATAAATGAGACTTTGTATATAAAATTTTATAATATTGACACATAATATGGGAGCCATCAACTTGCAGATCCTATAATGCTCACCTTGATTTTCAAAAGCAGATATTATGGCAATGTGCTTAGGATCATGGACTCTTGGAAACAGGCTAGCTGGGTTCAAATCCCAGTTTTATTATTTACGAATTGACATGTCCAAAGACAATTACTTTACCTCTGTGTGCCAATTTCCTCATCTGTAAAACGGGGATGATGGTAATACCTACCTCAATGGGTTGTAGTGAAGACTAAATGAATTAATGCATGTAAGGACTAAGAACAGTGCCTGGACACAGCAAATGCTATATAATAATATTATTATTATCATCATCATGTTACATAAGACCAAATAAAAATTAATGTTATTAAAAATTGGACAAATATACTAGATGTTAACTTCACATGAAGTTAACATCTAGTATATTAAAATTTCACTTGATCCTTAGCATGTGGACTATAAAAACTACAAGCAATGGGAAAGCGGTAAATTCACCATGACAATCCTATCTGCTTATTCTGTAAATTTCGTTTTCTCCTGAATACTATCTTAAAAAGTAGAGAGTATAAATACACATTTCCTAATAACAAAAAAGACAATTAAATCAGTACAGTTGGTCTATAAAATCTGGCCTATAAGAAGGAATTCCCTATTAAATTTTTAGAAGCTAATTTTATGAGAGCAGAAATACCCAAGTTGGGAAATCTGTCTGTGGTAAGATCTGAACATGGGAAGGCTTGGACAGGGAAGACTAAATTTGAAAAAGACTCAACATGGGGGAAGGCTGGAAGACTTGGACTTTAAGCATGTTAGAATACCTGGATATTGCAGACGGTGGAAGACCTGGATGTGAGAAGACCGGCACTGGAGACATTGGAAGACGCAGATATTCAGCCCGCTGATGGAAGACTGGGTAGCTGTAGGAAGACCTGAGGATGTTGGAAGACATGAAGATGCTGGAAGATGAGGAGATGCTGGAAGCCCTGGAGATGCTGGAAGACCTGGAGGTGAAGGAAGACATGGATTTGTTGGAAGACATAGATTCATGGAAGACATGGCTTTGTTGGAAGACGTGGATTTCCTGGAAGACGTAGCTTTGTTGGAAGACGTAGGTTGGCTGGAAGACGTGGATTGGCTGGAAGACATGGATTGGCTGGAAGACATAGGTTGGCTGGAAGACGTGGATTGGCTGGAAGACGTGGATTGGCTGGAAGACGTGGATTGGTTGGAAGACGTGGATTTCCTGGAAGACGTGGATTTCCGGGAAGACAGGGATTTCCTGGAAGACGTGGATTTCCTGGAAGACTTGGATTAGCTGGAAGCCGTGGATTTCCTGGAAGACGTGGATTAGCTGGAAGACATGGATTTCCTGGAAGACGCGTATTTCCTGGAAGACGCAGATTTCCTGGAAGACGGGGATTTCCTGGAAGACATGGATTTCCTGGAAGATATGGATTAGCTGGAAGACATGGATATTCCGGAAGCTATGGATTTTATGGAAGACAAGGATTTTCTGGAAGATGTGGATAGGCTGGAAGACCTGGAGGTCAATTGGAAGACATGGATCCTCTGGAAGACATGCTTTTTTGGAAGACATGGATTTTCAGGAAGACCTTAATTGTCTGGAAGACCTGGATTTTTTGGAAGACAGATTTGCTGGAAGACTCTGAGGTTACTGGAAGACATGGATTTTCTGGAAGACATGGATTTTCTGGAAGACATGGATTTTCTGGAAGACATGGATTTTCTGGAAGACATGGATCTTCAGGAAGACATGGATCTTCAGGAAGACATGGATCTTCAGGAAGACATATATTGGCTGGAAGACCTTGACATTATTGGAAGACATGAATTGTCCGGAAGACATAGCTTTACTGGAAGACCTGGATTTAGTGGAAGAAACTGATTTTGTCTGGAAGACACGGGTTGACTGGAAGACTTGATTTGGTGGAAGACATAGATTGAATGGAAGATCTGGATTGATTGGAAGACCTAGATTTAGTGGAAGACATAGATTTTTCTGGAAGACATGGACTGACTGGAAGACTTGGATTTCTTTCTGGAAGACGTTGATTAATTGGAAGACCGGATTTTTTCTGGAAGACCTGGATTGATGGGAAGACTTGGATTTGAAGGAAGACACAGATTTTTCTGGAAGACACAGATCAGCTGGAAGACCTTGAAACTATTGGAAGACATGGACTGGCTGGAAGACCTTGAAATTATTGGAAGACATGGATTTTCCGGAAGACGTGGATTTTCCTGGAAGATCTGGATTTTGTGGAAGACCTACCATCACTGGAAGACTGGATTTACTGGAAGACTTGGAGACTGCTGGAAGACGTGGGTTGTCTGGAAGACATGGATTTTCTGGAAGACATGGATTGTCTGGAAGACCTTGAGGTTATTGGAAGACTTGGAGTTGCTGGAAGACCTGGAGTTGTTGGAAGACCTTGACACTGGCGCCATTGGAAACCCTGGACATTGGAAACATTGGAAGCACAGGATGTTGGAGACATTGGAAGCCTTGGATTTTGGAGACATTGGTTACTCTGGACACTGGAGACTTTGGTGGCCCCAAACATTGGGATATTGGATATTGAAAGGCATAGACACTAGAAGCCCTTGATATTACAGACACTAGAACTCCTTTACCTGGGAACACCTAAACACCAGCAGATATAGATAATAGAGGAGACTGGCATTTAGAAATCATAAAATCAGAAGCCCTGGATATAGGGAAACATTGGAAAATCTGGATATTGACATATTTCTGATAAAAGATATAAAATTTGGAAGAATTAAGTTTTAATGATGTTAGAATTTGAGAATGCTGGCAAACCTGGATATTAGGAGATATAAATGTTAAGGGGCAGTCCTGGGTATTAGGAGATCTAGATATTAAGAGATCTAAATGTTAAGAGACATAGCCATTCAAACATCAGGGATACTAGGACACCTGAATATTGAAAGACCAGATCCTTAGATATCAAAAGACTTGCCATTGGAAGAAGAGACAATAAAAAGAAATTGTAAAACCAGAATTTAAGAAAAAAAATATATATATGAACTGAATGATATAAGTGCCTGAAGATATTAGAAAAGTTAGACTTGGACACTATGAAATACATAAACTCTAGAAGACCTGTATTTAGGAAATACTGAAGGATTGGTTCCATAGAAGTCTTGGAAGTTAGAACTCTGGACACTGAAAGAGACAATACATGGACCTTAAAGACTGGTGACAATATTGGAAGACCTAGACTTTTAATGACTCTTATTGAGGTTAGAAAATGTGGGCATCAGAGATGCTGCAGGCCAGAGACTGGAAGATATGGACATTAAAATATGGGGAAGATCTGGCAACTAGAGATGTTGTGAAGCTGTGGAGATTGGAAGACTTGAATTAGAGACAACAAAGACTGGAAAGGCCTAACCTTAGAGATATTTGAAGGCCATGTTTAGAGATATTGTGCATATTGACAGACTTGTACATTAGGGCTAAGACATTATATTAAAAAGTAGGCATATCATGAGACTATAACTTATAACCACAGCATTTCTTCTATTCAAAAGCAAAATACAGAGGAAAGAAATTTTAAGAAGATGACAAAGAGGAAGTAGGGAAATTCAAGTAAAAATAAGTAGTTTGCATGGGTTGGAACCTATCTTCATAGTCTCAATGAATTGGTCTTCTGGGCCTCTGTGGGTAGACAAAATAGGAATGGAGAGTTACCAAAGAATAAGCATATCTAAGCAAGGGGAACTACTTGGCTCTATATCAAGGTTCAGCAAATAGTTTCTGTAAAGGATTACACAGTAAATATTTAAGGCTTTGCAGGCCATATGACCTCTTTTTCAACTATTTAACTTTGCTACTATAGTGCATCCATAGATAGTAAGTAACAGTGAGGATGGCTATGCTATAATAAAACTTTGTTTAAAAAAAATATCAATTGTGTTGGATTTGGTCCGATGGTCTGTTTTCCAATCCCTTGAGATGCCAAATCTAGAGTATGGTGCATGCCAGGCTAGCATTCATATTCAAGAGAAAAACATGGAGCACTCTGAAGCCCAATATAAATGAAAATACCATGTGATATGATGACACTCTGGAGAGCAGGCTGGCAAGAACCCAAGAAGTGAGTGTAGATCTCTAGGTAAATGTTTCAGCTATATGGACAGAAGCCTTGAATTCAGAGTGGAAATTAAATGGGTTTCATTCAGATCCCCAAGCAAGGGGGCTGAGGGTCACTGAAGATGTCCTAATTTAGTAACCTGGAGGCTTGAGAAGAAACCACATATATGGGCATATATGGAGGGGAACATGAAAGAGATTATAGATTGATGGGCTCATCTCAGGCACCCTGGCTTCAGGTAATACATGTCATTTCTGCTTTTACCTACCAGAGCTTAGGTGCCAAGCTTATGGAATCAGAGTTAAGCCATAGACTGAAGGTCTTTAGTCCTTATACAAGGCTGAGAAAGACAGGGACTATCACATATATGACACGAAAGACAACACAGGCAATCAAAACTGGTAAGGTACTCTGAGAATAGGCCATGAGTTAAAGATTAAACAGTAGAATATACAGACAATGGGCAGTCACTGAAAGTTTTTGAACAAGTAAGTATCTACAGTACTATACACAAGGAAAGTTAGTTGAGCAGCAAGGTACCAATAGTAAAGACTAATAAGTATATGTATTAGGACAGCTTACAATACTTAAAGGGTTGGGATGTGAAGCCATTGCAGTAATACTGGAAAGGGGTTTGAATTAAGGCAGTGACAGTTCTGTCACCCAACAGACATAGCACCAGAGTCATGAAGAATATTCAGCATTCTGAATATCACTACTTTCAAGTTCTTGAATGCCATCGCAAATAGATGAAGTACAAAGAAGTATAGATGCTAGTTATGAGGAATGTCCTTGCCTAATAAGATGAATTAGATTAAAACAACTTCTCTCAAAGACAGAGGAGCTAAAAACTTGACAGCCAAGCAAAGTAGGTTCTATGTAGCTTCATCTTTACCCCTTATACCAATCAGAGTGACTTCATTATCTTTAAAGTGGATCTAAGGGGCTGGATTATTTAATAGAGAATGGGAATATATCTATGCCAAAAAAGCTATCATCTCTAACCATCATATTAATAAATATCATATAATGATAACCACATTATAAATACAGCACAAATAATCACTGCAGAACAAAGAGTAACTTAGGAACAAAGGAAGTATTGCCTTAGGTATCTGTCTTAAGGAAAGAAAAATATTAAAAAGCATTTCTTATTCCTTATCTTAATACCATCAATGCATACTTTACTTGGAGGGAAATGAAATATTAAATTGTTGCCAAAACAGAAGTAAAAATTCTAGTCAGATAATGTTTATTTATGTTATAATAATAATAACAGCAATGATTTATTGAGCGCTTACTATGTGCCAGGCACTGCACTAAGCATCTCATAGACTCTCATAGCAACCCTAATAATGCAGGTATTTTTGACCCCATTTTACAGATTAGACACTAAAATCTGCAATGGTTAAGAAACATGCCCAGTCACACAGCTGGTAACTGGGAGGGGCAGGATTTGAAAGCAGGTTTGTCTGATTCCAAAGTCCAGGCTCCATGCTGATTCCTGACACTCCCAAACCCCCAAAGTTATACTGCTAGGACTCAGCACTACTCACGGAAAGACAGGGAGGGGTCAGGCACAGTGGTGCACACCTGTAATCCCAATGGCTGGGGAGGCTGAGGCAAGAGGATTGTGACTTCAAGGCCAGACTCAGCAAAATTGAGGCACTAAGCAACTGAGCGAGACCCCGTCTCTAAATAAAATACAAAATAGAGCTAGGGATGTGGCTCAGTGGTTGAGTGTCCCTGAGTTCAATCCCTGTACAAAAAAAAAAAAAAAAAAAAGGAGGCCCCAACCCCAAATAGATAGGAAGTTGGTCAAAGCCCTCACTCTAAGTCCCATGTCCTTCTCATTTTTATGCTCATCATACTACTGCCAAGAAGTCAAGAGCCAACTCTAGGTATTTGGCATGAAGGGGATGTCTCAAGTACGCCAGATTCATATGTAATTTCTCAATATTTGGTATTCATGCTTGAAATATTTCATTTATTCTTTCACCTGTTTTCTGTTTGATTTTATGGTTCATATATATATATATATATATATATATACACACACACACACACACACACACACACACACACACACACACACACACACACACACACACACACACACACATATATATATACACACACATACTCTGTTCACAGCAAATTTCTTTCCAAATACCTAACCAACCATAACCCACCAATATCAAAGAACATTAAATGATAATAATACCATGAAAAGTTCAGTGATCAACGTATTTCACATCACAATCATTGTTCACAGAAACCATCAGACTTAAACACGCTGTGGAAACCCTTGACCAGCATTCAGGTGGCAGCAGCTATATGATCCAGATGTAATTTAAAGAGCTGGCTCTGCACTGAACTTAAATTAAAGTTTAAAAGATTTTAAATAAAAAGATCTTTTAAAATGTAATACCAGTTTTTAAATATATTCTCCACATTCCAGCAGCCTGGACTGCCCTTTCTCCCCACTTTCTTTCTTTTTTTGCCAGAGGGTTGAAATATATCTATAAAGAAGGAAGTTTCCAGGTGCTTCTTAATATCATCTCAAGAACTCGCCCCCCCAAAAAAAAAGAGAAAAAAAAAAAGAAGAACTCGCCCAAACCATTTGGCAACAGAAAGGGCCTTTCTACTAAAACTACTCAAAGAAATGTCAGCATATAACTTACTCAGAGAAATGTTAGCTTTTCAATTTGGGGGACTATTTTTCATTAAAGAAGAACAATACCTGTTTACACTATAGTGCTGTCATGAAGTTCTATTGCTCCATTTAGCCTATACCAAACCTTCACATCCTCCTGTGAGTTCTACTGACTTCTTGAACTGAACTACATTAAAATATGTCCATTATTTACCCTTATCAGTGATACTTCTTAGATTATTTTAACTGGATTTTGTCTTAAATAAGAACTAGGTTCACACTTATTTCAAATGACTTAGGCCCTAGACAAATGTTTCCATCTATCAAGCCAAGGTCCACAACAAATAAGATTATATAATGTTCAATTCCTCACTGGATGCTGTGGCAAATGCCTGTAATGTCAGCAGCTCAGGAGGCGAGGTAGGAGGATCACAAGTTCAAAGCCAGCCTCAGCAACTTAGTGAGGCTCTAAGCAACTTAGTGAGACCCTGTTTCTAAATAAAATATAAAAAGGTCTGGGGATGTGGCTCAGTGGTTAAGCATCCCTAGGTTCAATCCCTAGGGTACAAAACAAACAACAACAAAACAAACAAACAAACAAAAAACCATGCTAATTTTATTATTTTCCATTAAATGTTCCTAGTGGATGCAATTCAATTTAAATTTTGATTTCTCTAATTCTGGTCTAATTAAGAGAAACAAGAGCCAAGGCAGTAATCTCAATGAATGCTACATGATTGGGAAAGCTTATTCTTTAAAAGCATATAGAAGCACTGATTATAAAAAAATATATATACTGATTAAAAAAGATCACTGGCTTAAAAATATTTACTTCTAGGCATGATTAAGAATAAGCAAATTAGCTGGGCACAATGGTACACGCCTGAAATCTGAGCAGCTCAGGAGGCTGAGGCAGGAGGATCATGAGTTCAAAGCCAGCCTCAGCAAAAGTGAAATGCTAAGCAACTTAGTGAGATCCTGTCTCTAAATAAAATACAAAATAGGGCTGGGGGTGTGGCTCAGTGGTTGAGTACCCCTGAGTTCCACCCCCCAAAAAAATAATTAAGCAAATAACCCACAGAAACTTGAAATATTTACCACACAGACTTCTCCACTTAGGTTTATGGAAACAATAGATGCAAAGTGTTAAGATGTTTTATACACTAACATTTATGTATTATTTTACCTACATCCTATAACCTAGAAGAAAAAAACATAAGTAGCAATGGGAGGTACTTTCTATTTTTCTTTCCCAGATATTGATGCTACATTTACCTTTTTTTCCTAAGGCACCTATGCCCAACTTTCTATTCTGGAAGGGACTAAAATGTGAATCACAACTCTTCAAATAATAAGAAAATAAAATAATATTACTACTTACCTTGGTCTCTAAGAAAGGGCTTAATGTACTCCCAAGGTCAACCAATGAGGCTGATAAACTTTTCTCTCAAGAATATCTGTCATCTCAAGTAACTATGCAGGCATGTCCTTGCAGCCTTCATCTTCTGCCCTTTTTCCTGATCACTTCAGACTCAGTTATGGGGAGCCTATCATTCAGACTTACAGACTGGGGAGAAAATTACTGGATTCCCCCATTCCTAATCACAACTCATGTAGGTTCCTTCTATGTTTCCTCTAAGAGCAAATTCAATTTACTCTGTGCTGTCATTTTTCATGCTGTTACTCAAAGGTAGCATTTATTTGACTACTGCACCCAAATCTCATCATTCCAGGTTGTCTTTATGGTTTTTAGCTATATAAGTTCCTTTTTGGCAACTACATGCTGAAGAGTTATTTTTCCTCCTTTCCCTATGCAGGATGTTTGCTCTTCATCATGACATATAATTATGGTGCCAGTATAGCAATGCTGGCCCAAGCAGCAGTTAAGAGAGAGGAAAAAACAATGCTATTTAGACTTCCTATCTCTCTGGCTCCCAGAGCAACTGTCCAACTGAGTTCAAAATAGACATCCAATGAGACTGTGTACAAGTAGCCAAGAGAACAGTAGGTTCCTAATGTCTTTGCTAAGAATTCTTAGAATACTATATTAGCTTCATCTCTCTGGCTTTCTGACTTTATTTTTCCCCTCTGTTAAATCTGCCTGGAGAATTCCAAAATTGAAACAATGACTTCTATAAAAACAATTGAGTTGAATAAAGTAAACATAAGGGATACAGTGGGAATAAAAAAATGTTCAATCTGGAAATGAATTCTCCAGCACAGGAAGTATCAGAATCTCCTTTTAGCGGGATATTCTACTGTTCAAATTACTAGGAGGCCAGATTTGAGAACAGAGAGGAACCACAGAAATGAAGTATAACAGGTCTTCCTCCTTAGTTAGGTAACAAGGTAAATCCAGGAATTCTGCACAAATGTACTGCCTTTCAAGACCAGCCAATAGCTAAGTTATAGAATCACTGCGAAACAAATTAACTTAGAGCAGACTAGTCCCTTCTGGTAAAAAAGCAAGTTAGGCTTAATCAGAAGTGAAACAACTTTCAGGATCAGGAGCACAAAATCAAATTGTCAAATCAGATATTGCAGTCCCCTCCCTATGGTTGAGTTCCTGAAACCCCCACACTATCTGTGCTGAAGAAATTTAAGACATTTTAGGGAAAAAAAGGGGTGCGGGGAGGGAGCAGAGAAGAGAATATTGTGAAAGCTGGGACAACTGGTTTGTTCACTGAAGTAAATGTCAATGCTATTTTTCACATTCTACATTAGCAATACTGGTTACTGGACAATGATTTCTATTTCTCTCTGACCTCAGGGTAAGGATGATAATGCACCAGTGAAAGTTCTGGTCACGGCAGTAGCAATTGGGAAAGGAAAGAGAAAATGGGAATCGGTTTGCAGAGAAGTGAGCTCAGTCTTCTGCTCCAGTTTCATCCCCAGCACATGGGTCACCACGTCGCCATCAGAGTCTAGAGCCATCAGAGTCTAACCCCTCGATCCAGCTATCCTGTGTGCGGTACTGTGTGTGTGGAGCAGGTCTGAACGGCATGGCAGATGGTCCAGATTCTTCTCCCCTGTTAAAAGATCAGAGAGAAAACACTTAATGACTTCTCTTTGCAGGTTTCATATGACTGCTTCATAGGGTTGTGGGTCATCAGTTAAGCCTTGCCTGAAGGTCATATATCCCCCTGCAGGTCCTTTTTCTTCTGAGTCATTCCAACAATTTGATTTTCAGAGTAGGTGCCTCAACTTTGAGTTCTGGAGGTTAACCTACAGCGCCATCTTCTATCAACATTTGGTGTGATCACATCTATGAAATATTTCTCAACTATCTTCTCAGTGTGAGAGTCACTTAGGGCAATGTCACTTAATCTCTTCAAACCCTCTACCACTCAACTATTTTTGCAAATGTTATAACATTTTCGATTTCTTCTACCACTGGACAGAGGCCTTCAGTATCAGTTTTATATATATATATATATATAACTTTATTTATTTATTTTTATGTGGTGCTGAGGATCAAACCAAGGGCCTTGCATGTCTAAAGCGAGCACTCTACTGCTGATCCACAACCCCAGCCCCTCAGTATCAGTTTTACTTTGTCTTTTGCCATAAAAATGTTTCCAATATTTATATAATCATACCTTGCTTTGAAAGCCTTCTCCTCATTAATATTAGAGAAATACATTCTCTTGTTTTCTTTCAATGTTTTTAAAGTTCTGTGGTGGTATTTTAAGGCATTGAAGAAAGGATGGACTACTCAAAAAAAATGGCATTGGAAGAAATGAGTGTCCATCTACAACCACCTGGAGGTCTCTCTCAGTGAATTCCTTACGTGTAGAGCTAGCAGGTTCTAATACTTACAGAGCTTCAAGGTGGCCAAGTTGGTATTTCAGTTTCAAAGATCAATTTTAAGGATTAGGGTAGCTTGGGGAGGGAAGCATTGCCAAATGAATACTTAACTGTGAATTTTGCTGGCTAAAGTTCTGTTTTTGTGCCAATCACAGGGAGCAAAAAAAAAGATAATGCCCAGAAATGGTGACCAATGGTGAAGTTTCCACAAAGTCTTTCTTTCTTTTTTTTTTTTTTTTTAATTTAAAGTTGCCACTTTTGAAACCTTTCTGAAAGAGGGTTTAAATCCGGCACTTCCTCCACTTTAAAACACTCTTGAGGGGCTGGGGTTGTGGCTCAGTGGTAGAGCGCTAGCCTCACACGTGTGAGGCCCTGGGTTCAATCCTCAGCACCACATAAAAATAAATAAATAAATAAAGGTATTGTGACCAACTACACTAAAAAAAAAAAAAAAAAAAACCACTTCTGAGTCCCCAGTGGCTCAACAAATAAAGTCCAGCCTGTGCCTGTGTGCTGGCTCCTGCCCACTTTCCCAGACTCACCTTTCACTATCTCTTTCCTTTCTCCTCTGGCATCTATATGTCAGCCAGTTAAAGGGCCATTTCAATCCTCCAGCTTGCCTCAACCTCCAGCACTTGCTTCAACACTCTGCCTTCTAGGAAGCATTCCTGGTGCATTCTCATTCTCTCTCTCTCTCTCTCTCTCTCTCTCTCTCTCTCTCTCTCTCTCTCTC